CAAGTAATACCAATAACTATTTGATTATTACATATCATCTTCATCTTTCAATAAACAGACAATATCTTATTGTAAAACATATTTTCATGGGAGATATGCTTAATCAGTATTACTATACCCCAAATATTTGATTGTTTTATTTATTGTTGTATAACAGACGTTCCTAAATGTATAACAGACTTTATCCTAAAGCTTTTCTGAGATATCTTAGAATACGGATGATAGCCTTTCAATTATAAACAAGAAATGTGCATGAACAGGCTAACAGTAAGCTAAATTAATTTTTAAACCAATTTTTTTTATTTTTCTAGATAAAAAAGATTATATTATTTTGCCCTTAATTTTTTATTTATCTTAAGAATGACTTATTCTTTTATAACATGTGCATTGATGACATCCATTATCACTACACCTTTCTCTAGTGTTACATTTCTTAAGAATGATTTAGCATACTCTTAAACATTTGTAAGAGTTAAAATATAAGAATGATTTAGCATACTCTTAAACATTTGTAAGAGTTAAAATATGGAGCATCGTTGTCAAGTTTTGTTTTTTTTTTTATAACGAAAATTCGTGTTAAAATTTAATATTTAACATATCTAAATTTAAATTCATAGTAAAAATAATCATAATCATATATAAAATATGTTTATTTTCTTTTTTAATCCTACGAGTTAACTCCATGTAACAACTTTAAGTTTTTAACATCGAGTTTCAGTTATAAAAGATATCTTGCTATGATGTATTTCATTGAAAAAGATTAATCACATGGTAGAGTCATAAAAGGTGATATTGAATATCATTTACAAAATATTTTTAACTTTTTTCAAAATAAATTTGAAGTCTTAAATGATACAATAGTATCTCATATTTTGGGTTCCAAACACTAAAACACAAAATTAAAAATGGAGTTTCTTCCACGGATAGTTTGGTCAGATGGTATTTTCACTACAAGAATTTTACATATTAGCTATGACACATTCCGTAGCTATTTTATAGCTAATCTCTCGCTGGTATGTTTTGCTACAGAATAGTCCGTAGCTAAATCCAAGTAGCTAATTAGATACAAATGTATTCTCTCTCAAACTTGTAGCAAATTTTGTCGCTAAACTGTCGTTAAATCCCTTGCTAATTTAAATGATGAAATTTTGTTTATCCCTAGCTAATTTGATCTCCCAAAACTTGTAGCTAATCCGTAGCTAATCCCTAGCAATTTTTCTCTCGCTAATCCAGTAACTAATCCCTCGCAATTTTTCTCTCGCTAATCCGTAGCTAATCCCTCGCAATTTTTCTCTCGCTAATTTGTAGCTAATCCCTAACAATTTATCTCTAGCTAGTGGTTAATGCCTCACAATTATTTCTTCGCTAATCCGTAGTTAATCCTTTGCAATGTTTTTCTCACTATTTCATAGCTAATCCCTCATAATTTTTATCAAAATTTATAATATCAAATATTTAATATTTAAATTATTACTCATTCTTAAAAAAGAAGACAAACTTATCAACTTTCAATATAAAAGTATTGTTTAAACATAGTTAAAATGATGTTTCAAACAATTAAAACATAACAAAAATAATATTTCAACTAAAAAGTTCTGTATAACACAATTACAAATAGAAACAAAGTTTAAAGTATGTTTTCATCATTATTTCTTTAAGGCAGTATAATATATCTTTCTTGAAAGACTGCATTTCTTCTTGCATTTGTTGTTGCATGAGTGTTTGCATTTCGCTTGTATCTTTATTTGTGCTTGCATCAATGCTTGCATATCGGCTTGTGCTCGCAATCGTGTTTTCATCTCGCTCTTGCAAACTAGATATCCGTGTAGCTAAGGTAGTGATTTCTTCAGATGAGAGGTGTGGTAAGATTTTGGAAAGAGGGACCTTCAACCGATGAAGATGAAACATGTGAAATACCAAGATCCAAACTCCGACCTATACCATAAATTCTACCTTTTTTATTTTCACCAGACAGTCTTTATCCAAAGATCGGAATCAACTATAGGATGATTTGATGTATCTTCCCCATATTTTTCAATCATAGCATTTTCGATTCCTACATCAAATCAATATTTTAGCAATATTATAAATAAACAAAATTTAATATTTATAAAATATACACACTTACAATGAAATTTTTTGCTTTGTTAGACACATATTCACCATCTTTCTTTTTATGAACTTTGCTATATAATTCACCATAAGAAATATGACGCTTGTGTTCTTCTTCCTGTGAAATAATTTACAATTCAAGATTCAGACATCAATATACCAACATCAAACCTAATATTTAATTTATAACTAGTAATCAATATTGATTAACAATTATATGATCAATGTATTAAATGTATAAAGTATGAATACCATTTTTTTCAAGTGTTGTCCAAAGCTTCTTGATCCTCCTGTGTGCATCATGGCATCAGGCTTGGCAGACTCTATATAATTTTAGAGAAATTTACAATTATTTTTTATAAATAATTTTTTATAAAACTAAAATAATTTATAAGAATGTTTCCAATAATTTAATATTTTTTTCAATTTGATAGTTGCTATAAATTTGCTACAGTTTAACTATAATTGTATGTTACATAATTTAGCTAGGAAATAACTTCAAAAAGCAATATAGCTAATATTTATAGCGAGGGATTAGTGACAAAAATTTTCCTAACTAAATTATTTTTTTGTTAAGTGAAAGAATAGCTACAAAAATATTAGTCTTCTAGCTATTTTACTACAAATTAGCTACAACTTTATTCTTTCATTATTCCATAGCTAATTAGCTACAAATTAGTGAAAAATAAATTTTGTAGCTAATTTTCCTAGCTAATTATAAAATTTCTTGTGGTGTTTACTCCAATCTTCTTCCAAGTGATCATAGAAACCTAAAAAAAAATAGGAACAAAAAAATACCTCCACGAGAACAACGGTAATATCGCATATGAATTCAGAATGTTTACAATGTATTATGTAATCAGAATATGAACTTTTATGACAAAAATAAAATTCGGTTCCAACGTCTTTATCCATTAATTATGTTATTGAACAAAATAAAATTCTTTCTTTCAGACATTACTTTTTATCAATTCACTCTGCTATCAGTATCTAAAAATTCTATCGAAACTATACAATTCTATTAATTTTGTTGTTAGTTTTTACACGATTGATTGAATCTAAAACGGGAGGAGATAAAATTATTTTCTTGATCTTGTTTTGTTATTTATAACAACCAGAAACTTCTTGAGAAAGAGGAGAGAACAAAATAATTAAGAAATCTATCATTAATGACAAAAATAACTTAAAATTATGTTTGGGTGATTGTTTTTCTATTTTTATTTTTTCCTTTAATTAAAAATATCTATTCTATTTATATTTTTCTCATATATATATATATATATATATATATATATATATTTTGGTAAAGTGATAGATGAATTAATAATTTGATAAATATAAATATATTTAAAATGTTAATTGGAAATATATTATGTAAATATTAACCCATCTACTTTGTATATTTTAATCATTAAAATATGTTGATCATATATTTTCAATTAACATATATATTATAATTTATATTTTTATAAAATAAAATTAATGTATACTAAATAATTTATAAATATAATAATAATTATAATAATATTACCTACACTAATACATATAATGTTGTATTTTAATGAGTAAGGAAATATATATAATTATGCAGGCTATTGAATGGGATTGATGATAACAATAAATTATGAAATTTAAAAGAATTCAAATCGATAAATCAATTCAATATTCAAAGATCAAAATATATATATATATATATATATATATATATATATATATATATATATATAATTATTATTTTATTCGTATGATGATGCAGGCTCTTGTATAATTATGCAGGCTCTTGTATCTGATTCTATTTCCGAGAAAGTTATTTAGTTCGAAGCGTCGTTTCACTCTTCTTCCGCTGTATTTTTTAGAAGTTTTAAACATGGAAATGCCATTTAAGATTTCTGTCATTTATTATAACCTCGACTGTATCAAACTGTACAGCAGTTTGAAAGGGACAGTACTGCACTGCACCGCGTCTTCCACCAACCCGCGGTCTTTTCTTTTCAGACTCCTCTTAGACCAAAATGTTATCTTTCGTCTTTAAAACACCTATGCTTTCTCTACCATGCTTCTGTTCAAGCCCTGTATACAGGGTTCGTATCAAACTTCATGTATTTTTAAAACACCTATGCTTTATATTGATCAGATTCAAAGGGTAGTAATCCAATGAGCATGTTGAGATGGAGCTCGTAGAAGTATTTCTGATTTATTTAGGGTATCACCGGACGTGAACGGTGAAGGTATCAGAAGCACCAGAAAACTGGCCCGAAAGGGTGATATTTGGAGATGGACAACGGGGTAATTGTCGAAACAGTCTGTACTTTTATGATCGATTTCTATATGTCACATCGATTACTCTGCGCGCTTCAAGAGGAGAAGAACCCGTCCGACTCAACACCGACTAGCAAGAAATACATCTTTTACGAGTAGGTAGCTATTAAAAACTAGGTCAAAACATATTTTCCTGGCACTGATCTGAAGCCGTTTTCTCGGCTTTCTACCGGAAGATTCCAACTTTACCACTGCATCAGATCAGATCAGGTTACGGTCTCTTTTCAACCGTCACTTATTTCGCCTTTTTAATTGGTTGTGTTACAGTTATCCTTTGTTTTGCTTATTAAAATGATATCACATTAAACGAACACATACTTATGTTGTTGTGTTGTGTATCACAGTCAATGAAGTGGCTATACTCTTCGTCACATAGCATTGTTTATACGTGCTATACCTCTCCTTCAGATAGCATAAGAAGCATATAACTCTGACGGTGGGGAAGCTGTAAGGTGTAAAGCCAACCTTGAAACATGTTGCGCGCAACCTTCCTTTTGCCGCCATTGTTGTTTCATTCTTTGTGGCCAAATTGTCTGTCCAGATTATGGTGGCTATATTTATGTCAAGTGTCACATTGAATGTGCCCTATGATCTTTCTTGGCCAACAAAGTTGGAGGAAACATGGGGTTAGACAATGAATACCTATGCACACGTTGTAATGATAGAACTGACATGATATCCGGTGGTAAAGCCGTAATCTTCCAGTAGAAACTAGAGAAAACGGCTTCAGGATCCGTACCAGGAAAATATGTTTTGATGTAGTTTTTAACAGCCATTTGCTTGAAAAGATGCATTTCTTGCAGGTCTTGCTCGAACAAGGTGCTTCTCCTCCTTCAATAGTCGATCTGGCAAATACAGATATTCATCCTAAACGTACCGGACAATTTTCCGTCCTGTCATCGATCTTCAAACATCACCCCTTTCCGATCAGTTTCCGGTGTGTATGATATCCTTCATCGTTCATGTCCGGTGTCACCCGCGGTAAATCAGAAATACCTCCGCTCAGTCTCAATATGTTCCCTGGATTACTACCTTCTTAGATATGAACCTGATCAATATTAGCGTCTCTTTATGACCATTGGATTGAATTGAGAGAGTTTCTTTGCTTTACAATCTAAACACAGCATTTTGTGTGGATATGACTTGTCTTAGACCTTCTTATTCCATCTAAAAAATAGACAAACAAACAGACTAGCTTACAAATTTGTCTCCATTACAAGAACGTATTTTTTCTCCTTTTAGTTTTTTTTATATATATTATGGTTTTTCTATTTTTATTTTTATAATTTTATTTCTTCAAATTTCAAATTTTCATACTTTTAGTCTAATTTTTAATTATATATATTATTAATTTTATTTGATCCAAAAGCATAATATCTAATATATTTATTATAAAAATCATTAAATAATAATTGGAGTTAAATATAGAATTGAAGATTGAAAAAAAAATTTAAAATTTAGTGAAGTTTAAGAAAAAACTAAAATTACAATTTAAATAAGATTTATAATTGAAAATACTTTAAGAATATTTTATTCAAATATGAAAACAAATATTAGTGTGATAATCAAACACAACACTTATTAGTTTGTTTTTTCTTTTTTCATAAAATTTGAAAAAAAAATTAAAGTAAAGATTAATTTTCATAATTATACCTATTTACTACTATTAACTGTATTAAAATTGAATATATATTTACTTACCAATACTAAAATACAAAGTTATATATATATATATATATATATATATATATATATATATATTTTAATAGTGTAAGTAATATTATTATTATATTTATAGATCATTTTATATATATTAATTTTATTTTATGAAAATATAAATATAATATATATGACATAAATATTAAAAGGTTAATTGAAAATATATTATCCAATATATTTTAATGATTAAAATATGCAAAGTAAATGATTTATATAATATATTTCCAACTAAGATTTTTAAAATATATTTATATTTATCAAATTATTAATTCATCTATCACCTTATATATATATATATATATATATATATATATATATATATATATATTAAATATCTTATCAATAAATTTTTTACCATAAAATTTACCCATATATATTTATAAATTTAATAAACACGTAAATAAAAAAAATAAAACAAAAAATAAAAGAATTTTATAATTTCGACAGAATTTCAGATTCTGATAACATAGTCAACTGATAAACATAACAGTTTTATTTTTTCAATAAAATTTCAGATTCGAATGACAATTAATTGATAATCTTGGTGGTGACGGGAGGGTTTAATTCAGATGGGATATTATGATTGTGTTTTATCGCCACTGAATTAAATTGAATGAGTTTCTTTGTTTTAATACTTGGTTTTTACTCTTACTTCTTCCCAGTTGTAATTATTAACCTCTCTCATTTATTTATATATTTAAGCATATAATAAATTATTTTATTTTTACATTTATAATATGTCGATGAAATTTAATTTTAAAATAGAAACCAAGTTATATAATGAAAGTAAAAATTAAGAAAATCAAATTTAAAATAATTACTCAAACACAATTTAAAGTTATTTTTGTCATTAATTATATTTATTTATTTATTTATTTTCTCTTTTAATCAAGAAGTTTTTGCATGATACTTGTTTTAAGTAAAAAAAAAAAAAAAAAACAGCACAGAACAAAAGAAAGATTTTAACTTCTACTTTATTTGACTAATTAGTAAGCTTGTTAGACCAAAACATATTTTAATTCTCATGGACTATAAGGTGGTTTTGGAGATGTTTTATCACAAAATAGACATTTTTAGAGATTAGACTGTGAGAGAAAAATATATTTGATGGTGAAAAGTCATGTGTCAAAGGATCTCAAAAATAAAGACAAATAAAAAAGAGTAAGATAGATTTGATCAGATAAAAAAATAATAAATAATTTTGACAGTACATTCTTTAATATAAGAAAACCTTTTAGTCTTTAAAAGATTAAGTTAATTTAACAAGTTTTCTCAGATTTTCATGTTTTAAGGATTAAAGGGTATTCTTACCATTTTCAATGTCTTCTAATTCAATTCAAGTGTCACTTATAAATAAGTTGCCCTACATAATGGTATATATTTAGAATTAGTGACTAAATATAAATGAGTACAAAAATTAAATATATATTTACTTACCAATACTAAAATACAAATATATATATATATATATATATATATATTAATTAGTGTAGGTAATATTATTATATTTATACATAATTTAATATACATTAATTTTATTTTGTGAAAATATAAAATAATTTATATGATATAAACATCAAAAGAAGTTTAATTAAAAATATATGATCAACGTATTTTAATGATTAAATTATGCAAAGTAGGTGATTAATATTTACATAATATATTTCAGATTAAAATTTTGAAAAACAAAATTTTATCAATTGATTATGTGATTAGAGAAATTCTATATGAAAAACAAAATTTCAGTTCCAAGGTCTTTATCAATTGATTAAGTTATTAGAATATGTAATTTTGTAGAAAATATAATTTTTTTTTCAGTTGCTACGTTTTATAGATTGATTATGTTATCAGAATCCGAAATTGTATCCAAACTATAAACTTTTTTTTTATTTTTAATTTTTATATGATTGATTGACCTAGTAAAATCTGAATTTCTGAGAAGATAAAATTCTTTTTTGATCTCGTTTTGTTTTGTGAGGTGGATTTTTGTTTTGTTACTTAGAACAAGTATCATGTAGAAACTTCTTGAAAAGGAGCGGAGAAAAAAATAATTGAGAAATCTATAATTAATAACAAAAACAAACTTAATTTGTGTTTGGGTAATTGTTTTTTCTATTTTTTATTTTTTGTTTAATTAAAAATATCCATCTCTATTTATATTTTTCTCATTTTATTTTATTTCATTCATGTGTCACTAAATTTGTAAATGTATAGGTGTAAATCTTATGGTAAAAATTATTGCTAATATATATATATATATATATATATATATATATATATATATATATATATTAAGGTAAATGATTACACAGGTAAATGAAGATGAATATTCTAATAGTAAAAACTTGAATAGGTTGATAAAAAGATTTTCTAAATTTCTTAAATATAAAAAAATTGCTAATAGGAGAATATTTCTATATGTTATATGAACGTGGAAAATTTGGGTACATTAAATTATTTTTGTTGTATTCAAGATGAAACAAAAATTAGATGACAAAAAGGAAACCAAAAATCACAAAAAGAAAAAGAAATACATTACTTAAAAAGACAATGTTTGGAACACTTATAGTAAGTCAAGTGAAAATACAAATAAAAAACAATTTTTTGTTTAATGACAGATACACATATATCAAGCAAATTCAGTAAAAACTGAACGTGGTATTTGGATAATGGATGTTTCAAACACATGACAGATGATTTAAGTTAAAAGCAATGAGGGTGAGATTAATGGAAATGTCCCTACATTCTCAAGAGATGATTTTGATTATGATTCAAGTCAACACCATTCAAGATGAATTAAGAAAAAGATGAATTTATGACGTTGGTGACAATGTAAAACATTTCCCTACATACCCAAGATATGTTTTTGATAAAGATGATGATTCAAGCAAGCCCAAGATGATTCTTGAAGACTAGATAGAATCTTAGAATACTGGATATGGAGGTACAAGTTGATGAAGTAATATTATGCATAAGTCTCCAAAGCACAAGTGTCATAAAATTCATAACATGATATTTTTAACTGTCATAATCAATTATGATGCATCAGAAATGGAAAAATGATTTTCCCTGTCATAATTGATTATACTGGTAACATAATCAATTATGGAAATTCCAATTTGAAAAATATATCTGTTTTGAAGAATAAATATTTTTGAATATATTCTGATTTTTATTCACGAAAATATTATTGTCCAACGACTATTTTCTGATGTTATTTTTCTATTTAATTAAGTTTTGATGAAAAATAAAAAACACATAATTACAGAATTCGAAAATACAATTTACATTCAATCAGTTTTGAGAAAAGATTTCTGAGCAAGGCAATAGAGATATTTTACACCTTTTGAGAAAACCCTCTTCTCTACTGCCTTCTGTGCTCTCATTGTTAATGACACTTGTTCTTGGAGATTGACATTCTACATGCTTATACAATTTGTTGTCTCCATTACCCAGGTGTGACTGTTCTTATTTTTATTACCTTCATCCTTTATGTATTCGTGGCAAAGGAGGTGTTTCTCATCCCTAGTGTGATTCTATGAAGGTATTCATCCTTATTGAGATTCTAAGGAGGTGTTTTCATCCTTAGTGAGATTCTAAGGAGGTGTTTTCATCCTTCGTGAGATTCTAAGGAGGTGTTTTCATCCTTTGATTTGTTCAAAGGAGGTTTTCATCCCTAGTGTGATTCTAGGGAGGTGTTCATCCTTAGTGGGATTCTAAGGAGGTGTTTTTCATCCTTTCATTTGTTCAGAGGAGGTGTTCATCCCTAGTGGGATTCTAGGGAGGTGTTCATCCTTAGTGGGTTTCTAAGGAGGTGATTGTCTTTTTAATTAGTTTACTTTTTACTAGTTCTTCTACTGAGTTGATTGTAATTTGTAAACTGAATTTGAAAGATAGTGAATTGAGAGTCAATCTTGTGTTAAAAGTTGACTGGGAACTGGATGTAGGGTTGACTATACCCGAACCAATATAAATTTCTGTGTGTTCTTCTCTTTCCCTTATCTCTCTCTCTTTTCCTGATTATATTATTGCTTCCGCTTTATCTGTGTTCAAACAAATTATTGACTCACAAATAATTTTTTAATTTGACATCTATTTTAATTTGTGCATCTATTCACCCCCCTCTAGATGTCATTTGTCTAAAAAGTGGTATCAGAGTTTGGTTAGATAAGATATTTCTAAATGATCTGTCAAGATGTTTATGCAGAATCAAGTTTACAGGGAAGGAGCCTCAATAAACAGACC